TGGAAATTTCTGTTTTCCATTTAATCTCCATTTATTCTTACTAATATTATAAATGCGAAAGTTTAGATGGATGGATGGATGGAGATTTGTTAGCGTTTGTAGCCTAAACGGCTGAACGGATCTCCATGAAATTTAGCACAGGTTTAGAGCATAGTCTAGAAGAACACAAAGGCTACTCTTTATCCCGGGATAAGTTACGGTTCCCGTAGGATTAATTAATTTAGTTTTTTAATGTTTACTCGATCGTTCTGCAACGGTTCAACATATCTTATTGAAATTTGGCACAGATGTAAAATAAAGTCTGGAGTATACATGGGATAAGCTTCATCCCCGAGGTGTCCGGTTCCCGAAGGATACGTAGCTTTTTGTTATTTATATAGTTCGTATGTTTACTAATACCACGCGGACCAAGTCGCGGGCAACAGCTCGTTGTAGTTATATATTTTTTATCGATAAGCTATGTAATCATAACTAAATCGGTTCGAGATCATCTTAGTCCACCCGTGTTCATTAAAAAAGCTAAATAAATGTTGAAACAGATGATTCTAGAACAAGATTACACAAAAACAAGCAGCTATAGTCTTAATACCTGTAGGCTTTTAACAAGAAATCGTTATCATTAGCCGATATCTTGTTTCTAGGTAGCCCGGGATTTTACTTATTCTACGATACGGCCCTAGACAAGGCGCGGAGGCAATCTTATTATTGCATCGAATTAGGTTTAATGAGACATACATAAGACTGTTTCGAACTAAGAGTGAAATACGAGTCTTTAAAAAATTAAATACACACTACTTATAGATATTTTATCAATATTGTAATACACAGCAGACTATTTTACCGACTCTACAGAAAATAATCCTACACCTATGCGGACTTCATCCCCTAATCCGGTGGCTTTTCGTGAATATGAACTCGACTAGTGTCAATACAATACTTTGACAATATTTAGCGGTACATAGGTACAGTACGGTACAACCTACAGAAGAAGTAAAACAAGACTTTCTTTTCATCGAATAGACGCATAGGAAGGGGAAATGTCCTCTTTATGTGCGTCTCCTCCTCCGTCAATTAAGGGTAGGCAACGCATCTGCAATTGCGGATGTTTATGGACAGCGGTCGCTTTCCATTTCGGTAGATTCAGGTGGCCGCTTGCTCGTTTGCCACCTTGTATTATTAAAAAAAATCTTTAAAATGAACTATGTAAATAGATACCTTGTTTCCTTCACGTCTTTTATTTTATAATGAAGTAGAAAAATCAGTCTCGGACTATGTCATTCTCTAGTCTAAAATGCCCTTGCGTGAATTCGCAAATATGCACTCAAGCCTTAAAAGCATATTTGACAAAGCAATACTAACAACAGTAATTAACTTACGTAGCACAGTGAGCACTGGAATTAAAAAAATAAAGGTTCTATCTCCGTAACGATGTCTTCTCAATTTTTTAATGTACCAGTTACATTTTTCCGAGATCACAATTTAGGAAAATAATGTGGAAAGAAATTCAAATGTGTGAAAACAATCAAATCGGACTAGATTACGGTGGTGACAGACTGAGGCCTACATCACACCTAACTTGGTAAGGCTAGAGACCTGAAGCGTTTAAACGAATTCTAACGATGGAATGAATTGAGCCAGTTTATAATCTAAGTTAATAAAATCTCCATTTGCAATAATTTAGTGCTTCTTTAGTTCTCGTCGTATCTTTTTATCATATTATTTTCAATAAATTTGTATTTTTAGAAACAACGCAACATTAAGTAAGAAAAATAGGCGAGTTAGCGGTTTTTTTTATAAATCATGGTTTTTGAAACATCATTATGTATTAGCTTGGGGAATGATTTCAAAACACTAGATTAGTTAAAACACGTAACTACATAGTGTTTAAGGATATATTTGGGCAATACAGAGAATGCTTAAATACCGTAACTGCTACAAAATCATTTCGTAAATACAAAGCATGTTATATTGTCTCCGTTGACTTTACAATCTATTATTAATTTCATTGTATATGTACACAATAAGTGGAATGATTCCAAATGAAATAAAACCCCAAAAGCAATACCGTTTACGATCCCGGGGCAATAGGCACGCAGTATTATGCAAGACATGCAATTTTCTTGGCGTACTTTATTCTTATTTTTATAGGCGTCTCTACTTGAGTAATGAAAAACTATTAAATTGTCCGCGTGGGGATAAAGCGGGGGTCGCTGGGACCTTTCAGTTTTATTGCTGCCCGACGAATGGCGCTGTGCTATTTTTACAACCCTGCCAATTTGATGGCGCGGTAAAAGATGGCAACCGTCGTTTACGACCGGGAATAAACATAGGAACGAAATCCAAAATTCCGTCCACGTCCGTAGGTAAATAATGAAGTTAAATATTGTCCGCAAGTTTCATATTCTTGATTACAAAAAGTTATAAGAAAAATAATCTTTATTAAAAAAAGAACCCAGAAACCGACTGATTGATCCAGATTATTCCGGGTGAGCACTTAAAACATTCATATTGAATATTATATTACTTGAGTATTTAATTGTTTAAAGCTGTCGAAGCCGTACTAAATGACTAGCTTTAGCTTGCGACCTCGTCCGTGCGAAATTAAAACCTTAATAAGTAGCCTATATCTTTTCCGGCCTATTGTCTACATCTCTGCCAAATTGATTGTTATCCGTTAAACTGTTTGAGGGTATCATCATCATAGGATGATTAATTCCAATAAATTTAAAGGAGGATTCCTTATCCTACTCCCGTAAGGTCGGCGCAACAGGTTTTTTTGTCCTTTAAATAAGTAGGTTTTAGAGATAGGTATAACGTAACAAAAATCTTTCCATTCATCCTAACTTTCGCAATTATTAAATGAGTGCGAGTGATTGTTTCTATGGGCCAACGTTGCAAGTTGCAAACTTATCGCCCGGATGTGAAAATATAATATGCGGATTCACCGAGTACCTAGGTATGTACAAAAGACTATCGCAATTTATTTCTTAGAAACCTACGGATCGATTACATTACACGACAAGAATGTTATTCCACGTTTTCTACATTACGTATGAAGTTTTATTGAAAAAAACATATTAGATCAAGAGTTTCTTCGCAAAGCTTATTGCAGCTTAAACCCGGACTGGAATAAATATGCTATGCCATTACTTGAGGGCATTTAGGAATGACAGCAGCGTCTCCATCGCCAGGTGACCCACCTGCAACAGTTCACAACTTTACTTATCTATACTAATATTATAAAGATATAAGATGTGTATTTTTGTATGTATTGAGATTAAAAAAAAACTACTGGGCTGATAGCTACAAGCTATATTGCAACAAGCTGATATCAGGAAGGACGGTTGCCATGGTAACGGTAATTGTTATCCAATGTCGAAGGCATTTGTTGACATCTGTGCATTTGAATTTTGATATTTTACAAATGTAAGCAATAAAATAAAGTTATTATAATTTCATGCGGATAATCGTAATCAAGGGAGTGATGACTGAGATGACTGAAGATTAACATGTAACCAAAACCTGACGCATTGACAATACGGGAGTAGTATAATAATTGGCAGATGATATAGTTGAGTTAACTCTGCATTATTTATAGACATTTGTTAGAAAGTATTGCCATAGTCAACTGATAAAACCACAACAAAACCTTACAGTTATATTCTTCAAGTCCAAATGCGTCGCTTTCCCTTGGCTCTTAATTTCAGCACACAACTCTCTGACCCTTTCTTGAGTCTTTGCTAGTTGTGCCGATGTCAAACCACAATCATCCAATGCATTCCTGAAAAAATAAAGAGTATTAACAATTAGTAACTATGTTAAAGATTAATTGTTGTCTTGTCTGTAATAAGACCACTTTGTTCTTTTAGTTTTATTTCAATGAAAGTTATTTACAACTAGTTTTCGCCCGCGACTTCGTCCCCGTGGAATTTAAAGGAAAAAAGTAAGAAGTATACATATGTGTTCTTCCAGATCACGTTCTACGTCTATGCCAAATTTTATCCTGATCCGATAAGCCATTTAGGCCACAGACTCTAACAAATTTCCATCCATCCATCTAAACTTTCGCATTTATAACATTACCTACTAGTAAGGTATCAACGCAAAGCCATAATTAAAATTATATCCAGTTATATCTAGATACATATGTACATACTTAACTACGTATGGTCATGGCATCTAACCGTTGGCTTTCACTGTTAAAACATCTAAACAAAAATGTCCCACTCCCATTTACTTAAATAAAAAAAAATGTTTTAACAATGCAGTTGTTTTTTCTGTACAAGTGTTGCGCCAGAAGAAACGCCACCTGGAAGGCCTTAACAAGAAAGTTTTATGACACCACTGTCTCCGGAGCCAAGTTTCTACAATTTTGAGACACATACATATACATGCATTGAAATAGATAAACGATGGTATCGGTGTGCAGGTACATTATGAATGACTAAAAATGTGTTTATTTCAAATTCTCCTAGACAGGCAAACCGAGTTAATTAAAAACGCCTAGAAACTAGAGCAAAGGGTATTTTCAGGTAATTGGAGCACGGACACGAAGAAACCCGTCTTCGGGCATCGAAGTTCTTATAGATGGATAAATATGCGCCATCTATTAGATGTATTTAAAAACATTTTTTTTAACTAAGTAAACTTTTCCATATGATAAGGTAATAACGGACGGCTGCTATGGTTTTTAACGTTAGAATTCTTATGTTTACAGACCGCAAGTTTTGTTAACCAAAGGTTGAACTGTTTAGTAAATGCGCAGAAACACATTGTCTCGTTTTTTGCTATCTTAAAAAAATAGATGCAACATGTTTCTGTACGTGTACCACGATAATGGAAACACGGTAAGACTTTTTAGAAAATAGTATTATTTGTAATAGATACTATATAATATATATACCTAAATTTTTATTATCTGTACACAATCCATAAGGAATAATTTTATTATCTATGGTTTGACTGCGCTCTGCGTTCCTATTGGCTAACAATTCTCCTTGTTTTGCTTTACCAATATGGCGCTGCTGCTGTTATGAGATGACAACATCGCAGTTTGTGTCCTATTTGTTATTATTAATGTTACAGTCAACATTAAATTACTACCTCAAGATTGCAAAGAACATTGGCAAATGTAATGTAAGTTTCGTTAAAGTGAAGCCCAAGTTCTCAGTGATTTATACATTCGAATGGGTCGGTGGGAAAAGTATACTACTGTAAAAATGGCGGGTGTGTTATCTTTATGGATTGTGTTTTCATTTCTATACTAAATCTTAGTATATGAGATTTGAGCAAAATCATCGATAAACCGACTTGAACGAAACTTAAACTTCTTACACAACATGTGCCGATTACAAATTTGACAATTGGAGTAGTGATCGTTTTACGGAGTTAGGGCAGGTGTCAACGTTTTTGATGAAATTATCAGAATGTCACGCTGGGGAAGAGGCCGAGGTGGCAGCGTGGCTGTGCCGCTGGACAGTGCGCTGTTTAGAGAAAACAGCAATTGTCCCTCAGCCGCCCGTTCAGCGGGAACTGTTGGCAAATGGGGAATGACCAGTTTTACATCAATCAGAAGCGCTCCTTACGGTACGTATTAAAAGCTCAGCCTTGAGATATTTATGATTCAAACCTGTGTTTTCGTCTTAAAAAGCAAAGTAACAAATAAATATAAAATGTCAAATTCCGAAATTGTGCACAATATCCATAAGTGAAAGTAACATCTGTCTAGTTGGAATCTTTGTATGCAATGTTTACTAACATGTGGAATTGTAACGATGTTAAATAAGATAATTTATTCCAGCATATAACACTGCGAAAAAGCCTGTGCAAGATCAAAATAGTCCTTTGACTGTGCCAGCTGTAGACACAGAACAACCTCCACCAAAACCGAAGAAATTTTTCAAATCTCGTAATGCTGAGACTTTTCCACCTGTACCGCAAATTGCTTATGCACCTCAACAAGTACCACCGCTTTCACCTGAACATCCACCAAGTTTTAAGGAAAAGAAATCAACTAAAAAGTGTAGATATAATAGAGATTCATCTTCACCAGAGTTACCCCGTCGCAACTCTGAAAAAGCAAAACCTAAAAAGACTACAGTGGCTACTAAAGCTTCCAAAAAGGAAGAACCCATCAGTGACAATTCACAACCACCCAATAAGCGATATCTGGTGCGTAACCGCAGCAAAGTTATAAATTATGCAGAGGATGGTAGCAATAGTCCCATACCAGATATGACAACCCGATACGAATCATTACCACCGAAAGCACAGTCACCCAAAGCTAGTCCATTAATTTCCAGTCCAGTGCCAGCAAAACCAATACCAGAAGTAGTCAGCCCTTCAACCAGCAAAGAATCAAATGAGGAACGTAAACCACCACCTATTGTACTCAGAATATCAAAAGGTACATCAAGAATAGTAAGCACAGATTCAAATGAAGGATTTACTTCTCCTGGATCTGATAGACATTCTTCTATGGACATGCATTCTGATTTTGATCATAAAAAGAGTCCTTCTATGGAAACAATTTGTTCACCCAAACATGAAGGCCTCAAAATCACAATAAAATGTTCTTCATTAAATCAAGAAAATAAGAAAGATAAGAAGAAGGATAAAAAAGAAGGACACCACAAATCACACAAACGTCATCACAAAAACAGTGATGATGAACCCCTAAAAAAACCCAGTTCACCATTACCAGGTACCGATACATATGATCTGTATAAGACTTTAGCTTCACCCGTTCATGAAGAGGAGTCAATCACTAAGACAAAAGTAGATAATGTGGAGTCACAAGTGGCAAAATCAAATACTACAAATACAACATCAAAATCTAAAGCAGAACTAAAAGCTCTACCTGAACCAAAACAAAGTGAAGGTAGGTCTAGACGAAATAGGCCAAACATCAACTACAGTGAGAATGATGATTATTTAGATGTATTAACATCAAAAGTCTCAAACAAAAATGTAACAAAGACTGTTAGTGATATTAAAAAAGATGTCAGGAAGAGTAAGAGAAGACTTGATGTTGCAGCAGTTCCAGAGTCCAATGATATGAATGAGATTAATTCAGAAACTGAGAAAGATGCTGAATCTCATTATGATGATAATGATTTGATCAACATACTGTCTGGTGATAATGATAAATCCAAGCCGGCCAATGACTTGCAAAAATCTAAAGTTAACAAAAAGCAAAAGAATAAACAGAAACAAGATAATTCTACCAATGATATTGAATCCACAAATCTTGAAGACTCTATGAGTGTGTCACAACAAGATGAAAGTCATGAAGATGATGATCATTTGGCAGAGGAGCCTAGAAGTGATGACATGGATGAAGATGATAGAGTAATTCAAGAGGAAAAGGATGGAGAATCTCAGACTGAGAAGGAAGTGGATCATCAAGATAGAAATCATCCAGATGTTGAATCCGGGAGTCAAATGGAAAGTCAAGGAATTGATTCAAATGAAGATCTATGTAACAATACACCAACACAATCAACAGATTCTGCATACAATAGTTGTCCCTATGAGAATTCAGAGGAAGAATCACAAAGAAACATAGCTGATGATCATTTTAAAGCTCCTAATGGTGTAAATGAACCAGATGGTGCGGATGATAAGCCAAGTGTTAAGTTGGTTATAACAAAGAAGAAAGGTTCTATATTTAAGAGCAAATCTCTGGTTAATGATAACCCATCTCCGTTACCAGCAAGAAAAAGAAGGCATTTGTACAAACATCAGTGGGCAAATGATGTAAGTATTCATTTTAATAGTCTTGATATGATCCACTAAAATTTGTTAAGAAATTCCATGCCAATATTATGTTTACATATGAAAGTGAACTTGCCATGTGACCATGACCTTGCCTAAAATTACTTTGTTGAACTTTAAGAATGAATACTTATTACATAAATGTGCTTATTAAACTACATTTATATTAAAATTTGCTTTTATTCTTGAAAAACTCATTAAACCATTTTTAATGTGGTACTTTATTAGAGAAATACTTTATTGTTTAGTTTTTTTGTAGTGTTCCGTTGATTGTATATTATTTAAGTTTTTTTTTCAATGTAATCTCAAATGCTTTTCCTTACTATTTAGAAAGGAAATGAGACTCCAAGACCTGAAAGGCCTGAAAACCCAGAAGTGAGTAATCCTGTCCGTCAAGTACCTGAAGCATTGACTAGAGTCACAAGATACAGATCTCCTGATCCCATAATAGCTGAAATAGATGCTACCGAGCCGGGTGTGCCCTACACTAGTGTCCGTTGTGCCAAAGAAGCTAAAGAAGTGAGTATAATTAAATAGAATTAGTAAAGAAATTAACTATAGTGTTAAAGATTTGACATGAAATGTTTTTGAGTCTAAAGAAAATGTTTTGTAGTGAAATATGCAAAGTTATGTTTTTATGAACTTGTGAAAATAATTATTGTTTTCAGTATTACACTGTTGTAAGAAATGTAAAGAAAGCACATCAAATTCAAGAAATTGGAGAGTTCCAAGAGTTCAATGATGATGTGGAATACCTTCTTGATGCACTGCAGGTATGTTATAAGTACATAAGTTAATTTCAATTTAAAAAAAAATCATGCATCATCCATACATACAAAAGAGTAATCTTAATAAATAATGTCTAGATGGATCAATGGATGTTTCTTACTGTGTATCTTGAAAACGGCTTAACAGATCTTAATAAATTTAAAAATACAGCCTATGTTAACCAGTGATAACATAGCTTTTTGGTGGTGAAAGTAATTTTCAAATCGGCCCAGTAGTTATTAAGTTACTTCAATACATACAAAAATACATATCATCCATCTTTATAATATTAGTATGGTTGTAGAACATAGTCTGGGAACATACAGGTCACTTACTAAGTTTTATACCATGCTAATGATGCATACAAAAATAAGTAATAAAAATGAGTACTATATATATTTTTAACTAGTTACAAGTATAGTATGTGCGTTTCAGGACAACAACCCGATGTCCACCCGCTGCCTGTCAGCTATCACGTTGGCCAGCAAGTGCACGGCGCCCGCCTTCCGCATGCATCTGCGCGCGCACGGCACCGTGCAGAAGTTCTTCAGCGCACTGCATGATGCTACTAACGATCAAGTAAGAAACAATACTAATTTTCAGTAGTTTTTTTTTTTTCATAATTATTCATATAATTTACATTCGCACTCACACCAGAGCGGGCGCTGATCTCTAGCTCGAGATCATTATCTTTACCTTGTCCTTCAACACTTGAGCGCGTCTTGCTCTCCACCATTATCGTTCTCACTTTCCAGACAACAAAAGTAAAAATTGGTAATTGTACAATGTACACAACTGCGAAATATATGTGCACATACTAACCATGAAAACATAAACTCAAATGTACAACATCTCATTTATGTTCTTGCAATAAGTGAGCAGCTCCAACATCAATCTCTGATACATTTTGTTAGATATTCCCAGAAATGACTTCCTTTAAAATATAGACGGACGGACACAACACACAACACTTGTAAATTACTTCAAAACACATCCTCCTTGCCATATATTTTATAAAACCAACCCCCCCCCCCACTATTCTTTCCGTTTCCTAATATTTTCCTAACAGTATTGTTGTTTTAATGTTGTAAATAAAGAAAATACACTCACTCGAAATGATGGGGACATAAACCAGTAAGTGTTAAGATTGAGTGTGGATGGCTACAAAGGAAGAGGAAGACCGAAGAAAGTATGGATGGATTGTGTGAAAGAAGATATGCTTAAGAAAGGAGTGAATTCAGATATGACAGCTGATAGAGATGTATGGAAGAGCAGCACATACTGTGCCGACCCTCCATAAGGGATAAGGGCAAGTGGATGATGAATGTTGTAAATAAAGATAAATATATCAATAAATAGCACAGATTAACAAATAACTTTTAAGAATACAGAATACATCAAAAATAGTTAAAAAGTTAACAGTATGGACTTAGAACATAGCTTGGAAGAAATTATGGTCAACTATTTTTTTCTATTCACAGATTGTTTGTAATAAACTCAGTATCAGAAACATAAAAGGCAAGGGACTTTTATTATAGAACATTTTGAATAAATCTTAATTGTAAATTAATATTATGCATTACAGAGCTTGGGTCTGTGTACTGCTACGGTTATGTTTGTGCTGTCACAAGATCGCCTCAACATGGACTTGGACAGAGAATCATTGGAGCTTATGCTGAATCTGCTGGAGTCTGATGTTTCTCACAAGTGAGTAACAAATCTAATCTTACTTCTTACTAATATTATAAATGCGAAAGTTTAGATGGATGGATGGATATTTGTCAGAGTTTGTGGCCTAACTAGCTGAACGAAATTTGATTAGATTTGGTGTAGATGTAGAGCATAGTCTGGAAGAACACTTAGGCTACTTGCTTTTTTTTTTATTCCACGCGGACGGAGTCGCGGGCGAAAGCTAGTTGTGAATAACTTTCTTGAAAATAAAACTGAAATAACAAAGTGGTCTTATTACAGACAATTAAATTAATCTTTAACATAGTTATTAATTGTTATTACTGTTTATTTTTTCAGGAATGCATTGGATGATTGTGGTTTGACATCGGCACAACTTGCAAAGACTCAAGAAAGGGTCAGAGAGTTGTGTGCTGAAATCAAGAGCCAAGGGAAAGCGACGCATTTGGACTTGGAGAATATAACTGTAAGATTTTGTTGTGGTTTTATCAGTTGGCTATGGCAATACTTACTAACAAATGTCTATAAATAATGCAGAGTTATCTCAACTATATCATCTCCTAATTCTTATTCTACTCCCATAGAACGATGCCTCAGGTTTTAGTTTCACATTAATCTTCAGTCATCAGCTTGCCCTTGTCCTTATGGAGAGCCGGCACAGTTTTTGCTTCTTCCATACATCTCTATACGCAATCATAGCTTAATTTACCCCTTTAAGCATATTATCGTCTCTTGATCATGTCGCTTTTTACGCAATACCTCCATCTCTTCCTAAGTCTACCTCTAGCGGTGAATATCCACACAAGCTGTTCCCGCATGAAATTATAAAAACTTTATTTTATTGTTTACATTTGTAAAATATCAAAATTCAAATGCACAAATGTCAACTAATGCCTTCGACATCATGCTTCGATATCAGCTTGTAGCAATATAGCTTGTAGAAATCAGCCCAGTAGTTTTTTAAATTTCAATACATACAAAAATACACATCTTATGTCTTTATAATATTAGTATAGATATAATTATAGATATTAGTATAGATAAGTAATGTTGTGACCTGTTGCAGGTGGGTCACCTGGCGATGGAGACGCTGCTGTCGCTGACGTCGAAGCGCGCGGGCGAGTGGTTCAAGGAGGAGCTGCGCGTGCTGGGCGGCGTGGACCACATCGTGCGCACCATACAGGAGTGCGCGGCGCGTCTGCCCGCGCCCGCCGCCGCCTGGACTGCTGCTGAGGTCGACGTACTGCGCAAGGCCGATAGGTGCATGCGTGTATTGGAGAATGTAAGTCATATTTTTTGGTATCAAGGGAGAAATCGAAAGATTGAATTTGACTGGTTTTGAAAAAAAGATTTCTTCATGTTTTCGACATCAGTCGATAGATGGCGCTGTAACAAACCAAGTAGAAACTAAACAAAACCTGTCATTCCCACGCAACGACTAGTTCTTGTCAAATGACAAACGCAGAAAAAATAATTACGATGGCGCCACCTATTTTGAGACACGAGTTCTTGTCTACATTTATTGTGGCTGAGTTTATAATTTGTCGTTTGTAAATATACAGATCTTGGATTCCAATCCCGCCATGTATCAATGTTATTTTCGAATTTAGTAACATATAATTTACCCGATGTACTTACGGTGAAGGAAAGCATGGTGATGTAATCTGCAGATATTGGCGATATTCAAAGATATGTGTGAAGTCAACTATTCCGCCATTGGTTACTATGGCTTAATGTTACTCCTTTACTTATAATGACATATAGTGATTTGGTGATGGTGATTAAGTTTACCAGATGAAAGACTGACAGAGAGGCAGCTTTAACATCTTTACATTAGTGGACTGGCTCGTCCGGTGCAATACCATGACCACACAGAAGGCGTCAAGTTGGAGCAATTCTGCA